AAGTATGAATTGAAGCAGAACTTATATTATTATGCATATTAATATAAAATAAGACTTAGATAAATTTATAACAGTATTTTCATTCCTTTTATGTGCATATATGTATAATTTAAAAAATTCATAAAAACATAAATTTAATGTTATGAAATGGCAGTATCATTGCATTATAAAGATCTAGTTTCATTAATTCAGAAGTCAAACAACAAAAATCAGCGTTGTATTTTCAAATTTTCACAGGACTAGTTTCGATGGTATTACCGAACCACCATCGTCAGCTGCAAAAGCGCAAATGAACGAGATAGGATATAATGATCAGATAAGATAAGAAAGCCTGGACAGAAAATAAGCTAGTGGCGCCATTTTGAATACGATTCAGTTTGCTTTAAAAAGGCCTTTACAAAGACATCCCATCAGTTAAGCAGACAGCCTTCGCGTATTTTGCCATAATCCAAACAAAGACCTAAAAAAGAGATTATTTTTTTAAAAAGCGAAATATATTTAAAATAATTTGAACTACTTGCGTTTTAAGTAAAAAGATCACTATTTCCCTTATATGTACTTCTTTTATAGAATTATTATTATTAAAATTATTTTTCAATTGAAGATTTTGAGATTAAAATTATTGGAGCAGAAAGGTATGAAAAAAGAGTTTGGTCCGATTGCAAAGAATGAAATATATGCAAAGTCCATCGCAAAATACTTTATGCATTTCAAAAGCTTATAAAAATGATTGACAGAAAATAGGCTAATATTGAAATTTGACTAGCATAAATCGGGTAAAGTTATGTTTGAATTGTACCTGAAAAAGATGGTATTTAGATCCTGAAACTATATGCTAAAGAGCACGAAAAGATTGAAAAATGTAACGGATCCTACATTTTCTTTTTTAGTCAGTTCTAAGGAATTTTTTACTTTTTACGATTTTTATTAAGCAATTGGTAAAAGATTATTGCATTCGGAACACTTACGATTCAGTAAGAAAATGCGCAGTACCTCAGCCGGAAAAAAACAATAAAACCTGAGCAAACTTCGTGCGTTCTTCCATGGAGTGAAATCAGCCATAACAATAATAGACTAAGAAGAACAAAAGGCGAATAATTCAATTCCATTCTGCAGGAAACATGAACATGTATCGGGCATTTCCACTCCAGTAGCAAAAGCGTGTTAAATTTTATTAAAGGAAGTATTTGCAGCAAAGAGCATTATTTAGGAACATTGAAATCTGAACAAATAGAAAGAAAATTTTGTTAAGTAGCTCTTCACACCTGATGCATGATTTATTTTACAACTAGAAAGTGGCTATCAGAAAATAGATTAACTCAAAGAATTTTGCAATTAAATTTCGATTTAAAAGAGTAATATATATGTCATGTAAAATTTTTAAGACGTGCAGGGCTAAAATTAAGATTTTAAAATTAAATTAAATTTCAGCTTTTTACGAGTCGGTCATTTTTATGGCTCAGTTTAAGTACGTCTATAAAAACGATAGCTATTTAACTAACTTCGTGAAGGACTCTTCTAGGAGTAATTTGCTTCCGCTTCCCAAAAGTCTTTATGATGCTACGCCTAATTTGTTCATAAATAAACTACGACATTTTAATCTAATATCGAACTTATTGTGATGATTTTCAGGTGTTAACGCTAGTGCTTTCGAATAATGAATTAACTGAAGATTTCATTAAGCAAACTGACGGCATTCATGTTAGCACGAAAAGTCCACGCGATCCTTAAATTCAGTCCCCTAGATCCTAACGCAGAATAGGAGCCCAACAGAGGCCGAGCGGTAAATTCGCTTAACACTGGTGGTTCGATCTGGGTTGGATTCCAGGAGGAGCGGCTGGCTGCATGGGCGCTTTCATGGTATTTTGCATGTGTAATGTGGATACGATTTAGTTTTCTTACGAAAGTACTCCACAAAGGCATCCCTCTCCTAAGACATATAGTCCTCGTGTGCTTTGCCATAACCAAATAAACTAAAACCGCTCACAGAATAAGCTATCATTACGTAATCGCCTTACACATGGCCAATAATTAGCTACTCTTTAACAGTATTCTGATTTGTTTTTGTTATTTTGTAATGAAACTCTGAGTTTTAAGAAAATTTGCGGAACTTCGCATTTCGCTTTAGGCATTTCATTTAATAAATATTTTAATGCAAGAATGTGCAATAAAGTTTATGATATTAAATAGTTAAAGTTAGAAAGTGTTGTGTCTTTCATTTGTATGAAGATATATATGATGTGAAAACTATTTTTACCCAACAACGAAATTAACAAACGTTTCAAAGCATTTTAACTTAATGCTTCATTTAGTCGAAAGTATCTTCAGTAATTCCTAATGCGATACAAATTTGCTACTATCCACCTACGTAATTCCTGAAATAATATGACCTTCATATTGCATAACAAGGTTGCTTATTCTGGGTTAAGAGTAATGACCTGACTTATACAATTTAAAATGCCCTTCAAAACTGAGTACTTCGGTAGAAGAACTAAATAAAACTTGCTTTCAAACACTTCTTTTACAATTCCTCCATCAAATACTGCGAACTTTCACCTGTTGACATTCGAAATAACAAGATTTAGCCAAAAATGTCGATGACAGAAGACTAGAGAATTCGTCTTCAATGCCAAACCAGTTTGACGTAACAATACCTCGCCACTCTCCACCATAGTGACAAGTTAGAGTTACGTACTTTTATAACCCGGGTATCAATTCTTCGTTTCATTTTTGAAAATTCTCGGCAACTTTCAGTTTTTAGATCCTAATTTCGAAGATGCAGTGAGCTTTTTAACCACATGCGACGGAAGCCAGTTCATAAGAATTTTAAAATCAATCAAAATTCTACTTTGGATTCTACTACTGGTTTCATTAACATGCTTTGTGCATTTCAAGAGACCATACCACACAATCTCGGATCTCTCATAATAAATTGAGCTTTTTTTTAATGAATTCATTTCTAATTAAAGTTGAATTTGGCGCTTGATGCCTCAATCTAAATATGAATTTCACTTGATTTAAAAATGCTTTCCTATTTAATGAATTTATTTTATTAGTCAATAGTTTAGTTGACATTCCGTTTCTAAATGTTAAGTTAGGTTACTTTATAAGATATTTCTCCCACCTTCTTAGCATGCCTTCGTGGTGTAGTGGTCAGCACGCTCGACGCATATTCGAGAGGTACGTGGTTCGAGTCCCGACGAAGGTATTGCTCATTTTTCATCTCACCTGCTTCGAAATAGCCTAATATCTCTACAACTTGAACACAGCAAATTACACGAGGAGTATCTGCACAAGAAAATGGATGTCTTCGTGGAGAACGTTCTAAGGGAAACTGGCTGGTATTCAGTTTATTCATGGGGAGACACGAAAAGTGAGCCCTTTCGCTGGGTTTGAACCCGGTTTGAACTAACAGTATTCAGTGTTTTAATCACTCAGCCACTGGTTGCGGATCTCCAACAATCCTCAGAGCCTTTCTTTTAAAATTTAAATCAAACTAAAGAAGAATTATGCCAGTTTTTAAAATTCGTCTCAGATGACAAGATGCATCTAAATTCATGATACAATTTCAGTCTGTCAGTCAATCTGTGTGAGATACCTAGATACATCGCTATACAATGTCAATCAATTAAATTTTCTGTTTCAGAAAAATTTTAAATCAAAGGCTACAAAAATTAATTTGAATAAGGTGTGGCAATCATTTTTAGTTATTTTATTCGCAGTTAAATTCACATTTCCTCACAAGATTTTATAGCTGCACTTTTGTGAGTTGGAAAGTGGGCTTTTAAATAAAAATGTTTTAATCCTAAATTTATTCGAAGTAACACTTGCATGAAAAATTTACTACTTCGTTGTTTTAAATTTGATATTTCATTAAAAAAATTCTGTTAATTGAGGTTGTAACAGTTTAGTCTCTCTTAGGCAGTTTTCTTTTGAAAATAATATAGATCTAGTCTTACTAACTCTGCCTGAATAAATCACTCGGTTAAAAAAAACGTCATCTTTTTGCGTATTGTTAATTGCTTAAGCAATTTAAAGATAATCATTTTTTAAGTTTTAATTTTCCAAGATGAAATATCATACAATTAACCACTTACACATATATTGAATTTAATATCCCCGAATACAAATAAAAGTACCCAAAACCTTTTGTATGCAGATATGATATTGTACATTAAAAAACTGTTTTTTTTAATCAACATGTAGTAGTTTCTCTTTCCCTTTATGCCCGATGAGGACCTCTGTTATTACAGCCGCCCAGTGTCCAAGTGGTTAGCGCTGAATACTGGTAGCTTGACCCGGTTCGAATGCAAGCCACTGGGCTGGTTCTATGGTTGGTAGTCGTGGTTTTCTCGCATGTGTAAAATGAATACGAACCAGTTTCCCTTAAAACGTCCTCCATGACGGCATCCCTTTAGGGAGCTAACTCTTATTTGTTTTGTCATATTGAAAAACAGCCTAGCCTAAGCTGGCGTCTCTTATTAAAACAAACGCGAAATTAAAGGTTTTTTTTTTTTTTTTTTTAAATACTGGGAAACAATTCGATTGATCTCTAATTTTCTGATGCACTATAATTTTTTCGTAAACTTGTTTTCCGCCTACAAATAATACATTTTCCTGCACTTATAAAAACTGGATACATTTTTGATGCGCCTCATAATGATTACTTATGGATCTTCTATTTATTAACAATGGGCTATAATTCTCAGCGTTTGTTTTGTTGACATCTACGAGTGTAGTAAAACCGTTTCTTTTGTCATTACATGCATGACATCCGTCAGTCTTCATACATTAAAATATCAGCCATTAGTCATCGTGTTGCCAAGTGAGATGTTTTCTTGGCATTTATACCCAGAGTCCGCAACGACGCGTGGCATTGTTTCGAGTATATGAGAATACGTAACCGGCATTACAAACAGGAAATAAGAGTGGCCTTTCTGCGCGCCAAAAACGACCTCGCTGTAAAACTATCAAAAACTTACCTGGCTTTCAAAGGCTTACCTGGGAAACGTCGTCGGAGCGCCCCCTGTGCAAAGTTAGGCAGAGGCGTCACTTGGAAGAAGATCAACTCTAAGCATGCACCGGCAGCTGCTGCTCCTCCTTATCCTGGGATTTGGGTGTCTTATTGAATCCGGTAAGCAGCATTGTTTTCCTTTTCGTTACATATCTATAGTCAATGAAACAATCCTGCCCATATTCAACAAGTTTCAACGAAGTGCATAAAATTTGAAAATATTTTATTCTGCTTTTTTAATGAATAATATTTTGTCAAAACGGAAAAGTTAGATAAAGAATGTTTAATAAAATGAGAGAAATAAAAAGTTGAAAAAGTATTTCGCATTTTGGCATTAGTTGATAATAAATTTTATTTCATATTTTACAATTTTAGTTCTCAACGCAAAATCTCAAAGCAATTTCAGCTCTCAACTCTTTTATTAGCATAAAAAGTTTTAACCCCTTACTACAAAACTGTTTTTATTTTATTAAATGGCATTAAAATGAAAAAAATGTAAAATTAAATTATAAAACATAGCATTTAATAATAACAATAATCTAAGATTTATGTTAATTATTTCTGAATATTAAATACCTATATTTAAGTTCTTTCATATGATGGCGTATTCGAAATAAATTTTACAATATTTTATTATTTTATGTCATTTATAATTGATTACAATTAATTGCCTTTAATTCTTCAAATTTAATTTAAAAATTTCTCTCTAGTAAATTCTACATTTAAGAACACATACCTTCCCAATTTTACAGGAAACGAACTTAGTATATTTTCATCTTTTAAGGATAAAATTAAGTTTACCTATTGTAATGAAATAAATAATTTTATTAATTAAATATTGTTACCAGTTCAATAGCATTAATGCTGCAATAAAAAGCGCTGAAAATATTGTTGTTGGAATAAAAATCACTTCCAATTTCAGGCTAAATTATTTCTTCAAATATTCAGTAAATAAATATATATTTTCTGGGTATGAATTATTAGACAAAATTTATTGCTACAAAGGTGTAGTTAAGTTCTTTGATGTAGTTGCCAATTTTACAGATATTTTTAATCATTTATTTTATTATATCGGTGATTTGTTTAGAAATTGTAACTGTTCTTCTGCAGGTTACACGTAATCTATTAATTTTAGAGTTAAATTTATTAAGACTTCTTTTCCTGTTCAGCCTTTTTTAATACCAATTCAGTTACGTTAGTCTGTAATAATATCCTGCAAAACTTATTTTCTTATGTAACCCCTTATTAACGATCAACAGCATCATTTCGCATTTTAAAATTCCTACCATGATCAAGTCCTTCCTAAATGGGAGTAATAGTTAAGATTCATACACACAACATACTTGTATTTTTTTCATATTTTATGGCATTTTCGTGTTTCCTTCTTAATGCTTTAGATAACTTGAAGCAACAACTTGTATATCATGTCTGAAATATTTGGGGTGCCTAATTTATCTGTTTTAATATTACTTCAGTTTCTTTACATCATTACTCGTCGTTTTCGAAATTTCATTTCGTACTAAACATGCAGTTTATATGTGTTCTTGATTACTTGCTGATATTTTAAAATAGAATATTATTGAACGTATATGCATTATAAAATAGTTTAGTAGATGCTAAGACTGCGTTTATTCGAATGTTTTTATGTGGTTTACAAAGGTCCGATTTTCGGTCACAATTTGCCGAAATGGGACCCATTCTCTCCTTGATACAATAAGCATCAGAGCTTATGCCGAGAAGAAAAGCCGGCTTGTTCCCAGTGCTGATCTCAATGCCTTGCATTTATAGTGGTCTTGGAATAGTGGGGGGTTCTATATCCGTTATTCCCTTGATCCACCGTAGATTGTTGCGGAGTGCTGTACGCTTTATATATTGTGTAATAAGTGTTCAGTTGCATTGACATTATCAGCTCTGTTGTCATCAGCAGTTTTTCGCGTAGAAATAGTTATAAAGTAATTTTGACTATTACGCTATAAACACGTACAGGACAAATTACACTACAGGACCCGTATTATTCATGTCGTAATAATGTGATGCTTATGGATACTCTTCGAATGTCATTCTGAAGTATAGTTTCTTATGGAGTCTATGCCTCTCTTCTTAGAACTCAAGTGCAACTCGTAATTAAAAAGCAGTGGTGAAAAACTACAGAAATTAATCATAACAAAATAAATAAGCCTTGAAATAAGTTGAAAATAATTTTTGTTTTAAGTAAACAAAAAAAAAACAAAAAAAAAAAAAAAAAAAAAAAAAAAAAAAAAAAAAAATTATAACGAAAACTTAAAACGAAAGCTGTGAGAAATGCAAATTTTTTTTCAAAACCCTTTTATTCAATTTTATACATCAATCCCTTCATCCCTAATGTATTAAGATAAGGTTCACATAAAGTAATAAAATGAACGATTATATTTACAAAATTATTGATCAGAATTTAGACTTCTTTTAGTTACGTCTTGAAAGCCATATTTCACGCAATAATTTTTAATTACATTTTGCATTCTCTTCCTTCCTGAAAAGGAATATTTTTTATAATAATAATACATTTCAGTATTAATGAATGAAAATTTGCCATTGCTAAAATACTATTTAGTTTTATCTGAAGTAAAATGTTTCAGATATAAAACTAGTTGATTACGAATTTCATCCGAAAAAGAAGTCTTATGCCCTTAGTAAAGCATTATGATTACTCTTGGAGGCGTAAATGTACTGGAACTAGATTTCAGCTGAAATTAAGCAGTGTTTTTCACACACAACGATGATTAGTCGTATGTTGATTTTTATGTAATTGCACCCAATTTTCATATACCATACTATGACCGTACCGTAGCTAAGTAACTAATCTATATTAGATTCTTTTAATTGGCAACATAATGATTGATAAATGTATTAAAGAATTAGTAATTATCAACTACCATTCTTCCTTGAATCCACCGTTAACCAGTTATAAGGTTTAGAAAGAAAGTGAGACTGCAGATTTAATATACGACAAATTAAAGTATACGTCTCCTGTTTGAATCTATTTGAAAATGCTTAACACAATACGATGCAATAGAGAGAGTTTGGTGCACGCTGCCCTAAGACTGAACATACGAATATAACGTAACAACGTGACAGCAAATCTCATAACTATTCTGTGAACTTACCGGTTCGAAAGTGGAAAACGATTGCTCACGGCTATACAAAATGGCCGGAACCTAAGTTCCTCTTCGACCGTTTTACGGCTCTTTCCGGGTGCCACTTTCCATTTCAAGGTCACACGTAGCTGCTTGATATTTTTTTCACAGGTTATTTCATTCGTTGGGAATTTTTTTTCCTGGTGTTATTGCCTCTCTTGGAACTGGTAACATGTCATTTTCGATTCAGACAAAAGGAAAGAGCCGCCGCCGCAGTGTCATTGTATTTTCGATAAAGCAAAAACGAAAAAGAAAAATACACTACAGGACCCGTAAAATACTTCAGTGACTGATAAATTCCACTTCGTAAAATACGTTTCATAAAATTATTTCGATTCAGTTTCTTTTTTTTCTTTTCTTTTTTTTTTTTTTAGCACGCATGTAACCTCAGCATTATTCTTAATAGGGTGTTAAGCCCCGGGGAACGTATTTCTCCTTTCTCTCCCCCTGCTTCACTCTAGTGCAAAGACCTTTGGAGGCCTGACTGGTTTGTCCGTGCCCCGCTGACTGCACCAATGGCATTTTTAATGGACTTTGTTTACCGGACTCTTCCAAATGCGTTCGACTGTGAAATTGTAACGACCACGATGCAAACCGCAAATTTGCTGTACGTGAAAAATCGTTTAGAAGTAGCTGTATATTTATTATTCGGAATTGAAATGGCACAGTTATATTGCTTTCATACCTGTAATTAACGAAGGAGAACGTGATCAGTTAGAAATAAAAAGAAAGTGTAATGAGGAGTTGCGTCGCATTTTTTAATGGGAAGAGGGGATTATTCGCGGTTCGGATCGTTTTATTTAAATCTGCGTATCCTAATTACATCATTGTTAAGAAAATGCTGAAATATTGGCAACAAATGAGCAGCTATAAATTTCTTAATTGTAAGTAATATAATCATGCTACAGACATAAAACGTATTTTTACTACTGCATGCTTTATTAAGCGGTTGTATATCCTACAACCGGTATTCATATATAGCTAGATTGTTTTTATAACGTATCTAGATATGAGGAATGATTGGTGTGTTAGAAGGCTATTCTTATCACGAATTTCATGACACATAATTATTCATCATTGTCATTCATGCATTTTAAGATATATAATAGGATGAAATTCTTCTCATAAAAAACCAGAATAAACCGTTTATATCAAAAGAAAAAATTAATTTGCTTTGCTTTAGCGTATTATACCCCATTTGCCTCTTTTCACTTATTACATCGATAAAAATATACATAAAATGTACATGAATAGTATTCAGCATTTCGTGGAGCTGCGCGATGTTGAAATGCGAATGTAATGATATAAATTATTTCCGAGACAAAAGTGTTTTGTATAGTTAACGCACTTTTTTGTTGATTAGATGTTAAATGTTTAAAACTTGTCTTTATCTTTTGCTCTGTACGTCCAAAAAAAAAATTATATCGCGATGAACTGTTTTATATATAGATGTTCTGCAAGTCGGCCATATCAATGAGAAGTAAAAAGCGAGTAAAGAAAAATGTAACTTCCCAGAAATCATATAAAGACCGCTCATGCGCTTAGCTTACTAGGACTAGTGAAGTAGATACAATTTACTTAAATGAGAAATACAATTTATAGTTGTTATTGTAATATATATACATACTATACGTGCATATATAAGTTTTTTTAAACATTAAACAAAGGGTGATTAATATATTTTTATCATTCTTTAATTTAATTGCTTACACCACTTCTTACATTTTTCTTCAGTATACATCTTAGGCTTAAAGTATTTTTTCACTTTTAATAAACTCTCACTATCAGTTGGCCCTATACATTTTTCCTCAGATAAGATAATCTTTAATAAAATCAATCCTTTTTTTTAACTAAAACTTATATATATGTATAATTAGTAGTCTTTCTAGAGAAAAAAAAATATTATTATTATTATTGCTCTAAACAAACAAAAAAAATATTGTCTAT